ATTATTGCCCCCAGATTATAAGTTAAGACGTTTGCACCGTCAAAACCTTTCCACGACTAAGACTCCGTGTAACTGTATCCCTTTGTCTCAATGTCTAAACTTAATGCAAGGAATTAATAAAATCCAACTTGTATCCATTAAGTCATTCACTGATTTATCAAATCTGACTAATAGGAACAGACATCATAAAAGCATCTCAGCATGGCCATGCAATTTCCTTAGTCATAACTTATCAGTGGGCCCCATAAGACATTAATCTCTTTAAAAAGAGTAGTGACAAACCTTTGTACGTAATCTATGTTTCTGAATACGCGCTGCGGCATACCCAAAACAAAGCCTGTATACCATCCTTATTTCATATGGCTTAGGACAATGCATCAAAGCATGCGGGTTCACATATGCAGAAAACGTAATACTTCAAGTCGAAGGATAGTTACACCCGTGGTCGCGCTAAAGATGCTTAGAGCATGAATTAAAAGTTCAAGCAACATCTTTAGGATGGGTCAGTCCGGCATCCTATTATCTCTAGATAATATCTGCCCATGTGCGGATGCGAACACACCGTCATTGACTATGAGACTAAGTCAAACATCCAACACACACTAGTCTCACATGTATTAACGATATCCAACTCTCGTTAATACTCGACTATGGACATTTAGATAAATATTTATTTCAAGATGTTAGTCTCATCAGCAGAAGAACACTATCTAATAAACATCTTTTAAATATAAATCTAGGAGTATAATATTTGTTTACATTAGCATGAGATGTGTAAACATATTATATCTGCCTATACATGATAGAATAACGATAAACAGTTGGCTATCAGGGCACAACTCCAACAATCTCCCACTTGCACTATGGCAAATCTGGCATCGGTCTAATGCCCATGGACCTAGTGTGACCCTCATGCTTTAGCTTTCCTAAAGGCTTGGTCAGGGGATCGGCTATATTGTCGTTAGTATCTACTTTGCAAATCATCACATCTCCTCTGTCTGTGATTTCTCGTATGATGTGATAGCGTCGTACAATATGTTTGGTTTTCTGGTGAGATCGCGGTTCCTTTGCCTGTGCAATGGCCCAGTGTTGTCGCAAAACAACGAGATAGGGTCATTAATACTAGGAACCACTCCAAGTTCAGTAATGAACTTCTTGATCCAAACAGCTTCTTTAGCTGCCTCGGCAGCAGCTATGTACTCAGCCTCTGTAGTCGAATTGGCGGTTGTATCCTCCTTGAAGCTCTTCTAGCTAAAAGCTCCGCCATTCAGGCAAAACAAATATCCTGCTTGTGATTTTGAATCGTCTCTGTCGGTTTGGAAGCTAGCATCAGTGTAACCGACCACCTTTAGCTCTTCCTCACCACCGTATACCAGGAATGCATCCTTAGTATTGCGAAGATACTTGAGGATGTTCTTGACCGCTGTCCAGTGTGCTTCTCCTGGACTTCCCTGGTATCTGCTGGTCACGCTTAAAGCGAATGAGACATCAGGTCTAGTACATATCATGGCGTACATGATGGATCCAATCG